AATGCACAGTGTTTCTAGGGAAGAAGATCACTTGACCAGCCGTGACGTTGTATGTGGTAACCACACTGTCATCTGCACCAATTACTCCAATCCAGGCAGCACCCTGTAACATGATCAGAACTTAATGATCGTAATGAAAGTTTTCTCATTTACTCCGCATGCGGCAAATCAGTAATTCAAATAACCCGCAGGCTGCTAGGCGAAACCAGATCCTGATGCACTCTCTAACAAGCCTTTGTGAACTTAAATCCAGAAAAGCATTTTATGTGACAAAATTTTAGAAGGTTTAAGGAACACGTGACAAATACACATTGCTCATACTTAAACCATTTCTTATTAAAGAGGCTGTGAACAGCTATAAAGGAGTCATCTTTCACCAAAAACTGCTGGAGAGAGGACTAGGTGTCTGTGGAATGCCTTACTCCAAGGATGATTCCCCATCCACTAGAGCTATTCAGTTCTATGCTGCTCAAAATATGAATAATTATTCTTAGAAATAAATTAACGATTAAGATATATTTAAGTACCTATGCTTCCAAAGAAAGATCATTTTATTTTCAAATTGATATGCTATCTTGAATTTGCCATGGTGAGTTTCTACTTGTCTCTTATTTTCTTTATTTTGACAGATTTCAGATTTGAAGCTCAGGTGAGATAGGGCAAACTTTTCCAAAGAAGATTTATTTTGGGGGGGGAAAGGGAGGGGTATTTGGTCTAGGAAAGAGAAGACTTTATGATAACAAACCAGTCTTCCATGTATAAAAAGTTGTGAAAAAGAAAGATGATCTGAGGGTCTCCACAGCCAATGGAGATAAAGAAGGAGAAATTAGGAATTTTTTATTTTTTTTTTCAATAAACAAAACCATGGTTTGTGTACTGGCACAAACTTCCTAATGGTTTGTATGATGAAATATGGGAGACCGCTATTTTTTGATTTTGTAATAGCTCCTTTGTGGAAGATTTTTAAAAACTGAACAAAAGTGTCAGATGTGCTTTAGGTATTCTTATCCTGCATCAATACAGGGGATGGAGCCAGAGGCTTTCTTAAGCACCTTAGCAGTCCTTCATCTCTGTGACGACTCTATAATATAATTACTTTAATCATTGTAAGCACTTGCAAAAATACATAAAATTCTGTAACTTTCAGGTATCCAAAGCCTCCTCTGACCTTAGTTTTTATACTTCATTGGAAGCTACAGGTGTTTGGTCCTCTTGCAATTAACGACATTAAGCAGCTTATTTCAAGCATCTCCATTTGAAGATGTTATTTCAAGCAAGAAAACTAATGTCATACATTAATCAATGGTAATTCTGCTTTTATTACCTGTTAACATTTGTATACAGTGTATATGTAAATTTTTTTTTTACTTATGTACATTTTCTATGTATATGATGCTTTAAACTGCAAAACCAAAACCAGATAATACCTGTAGCAGGTAGCCGTGTTCATTGGCATTAAAATGCCAGTGGGGAGCACGAAGCCCTTTGCTCTTAATCCGTAAGGTTCCAAAAGTCATTTTAGAGCGATGGTTATTGATGCTTTTTCCAAATTCCATTTCTTCATCACTTTGGTATTCTTTTACATCATTCCTGAATCTTGCCCACTGAATTTCACCACCTGGATACTGATGTACCTGTAAAGTTAGTGAGAGTGAAGAGTTGTATTAATTGTGGACAGTGGTGAACAAACATTCCAAAAATATTTTAGAAAATTCTTAGTCTGAAGGGACCCACTCCTTTTCTCAGTGAGGATTCTCTCCTTATGTATTTTAGTCGCTTTTCACAATCATTTATATACTTTCTCATGTTGTAATGTCATAATATTTTTTCTACAAACGAGAGACAAATAGGGATATCAAGAACAAAATTATCTGCTCCTCTTCTTTTTACATCATTCTGGGCTTTGATTTGGGAAATCAGATACATATATGCTTGAACTTTTAGATTCAAAACATTTAGACCGTTTCCCGAGTAAGACGTTTTCCTGAATTTCTACAGTTGCAAACTATTTGCACCTGAAACTATTCCTTTCCCAATATTTGTACTGCCTCTAGAACGGGTTTTGTACTTGAAAGAATCATCTTGCACTGAGGAAGGGCATATAAAAAGGGTTGCTCTCCTCTTAAACACTTTTATCTGCATTCTTGAAAACATTTTTTGTTTGAAAATTAATTACATAGTTAAATCTAACATGAAAGAGTACCAGAATGGCTGTTGTCAGTTTTAAGTGCCCTACTAGCTAATCTGTCCTTTTCCCTCTTTTGCTGAAAAGCAAAAATTAATCAGGGATTATTTTTTATATAAAGATACATTTTTGAAGATGGAGTATGTCTTTAGAACTTGCTTAAAGGATACGTTTCTGTAAGTATCAAAATACACCTAAACAAAACCTAGGTAATTCTTAGGCCTCCATTACATTGTCAGTCAATTCATTTTAGCTCACTGCAACAAGCTCACGGAGTTCGTTTTTTCTTGCAGTGTAAGAATTTGTTTGAATCCAGTCCTGAGAACGAAAAGGTCAGCGTGCTACTCAGCTCACATTAAGATTTGATCTTTCTACTTTTGTTTCTCAGAATTTCATACTCTGTAATTTCAGAATCACACATCAAATAGTTGCCTTGTCTGGCAGGCCCAATTTGTTGGAGCAATTACTCAGCTCTTCAAGAGGCACTCCAGAGATCCATTCCATCTCCAACATCTGTTACGAATTGGAGTGAAACGCTGTCAGGAAGTTCGTGCCTCTCCCCGTGGATTATAAAAGAAGCCTGGATAACAGGTTTAGACTGATCACCTAGTGCTTAAAAAAGAGTTAGGTGAAATTCATTAAACTTCTATATATGATGCTAGAATATTATTGCACAAGATGAACCATTTACCTTTGATTTCCCCAGGTGATTCAGGAACTGGAATTTGATATCCACACTTTTTTCATCTGGTTTGGGGGAAGACGCACCATCATCTTTAACATCCGTCTCTTTCATAAAGGGAGCGTGGTTCACGTAGACCAAGGACAGGGCCAGCACTCCTATTGCGGTGGTGATAACGCAGGCCAACAGACAAACTAGGAAGACTTTCATTAGGGACCAGCTGCCCTTTCTTTCCTGGAATTATTAAAAAGCCCCCCCCCCAAACAAAAAAGAAAGCTTTATCAGATCTAACACACAGGACAAAGTTTGTGATAGTTCTTTTGTTATCAAAACAGTACGCCTTTCAGAAATACAGGTATAGCCAAATTACTGGGCCCGGTACCGGGAAACATTATAGAGTATGTTATCTGATTGTTGCTGTACTTTTATTGTTTCATCAAGTAAAAGCATGTCTTCAGCATCCTGGGGTCTTACATACACCTCAAGTTTTCTTTCATTGCTGTTTCTAATCTATATCACAAAACACTGAAGACCTGTAACATCAACTTATGGCAAACCTCCGTCCCCGGGGCAGAAATTCTGCCTCCGCTTTACGGCACATCTCACATGGCCCAGCTCCTTGGCAGCGGAGAAGACAGGTCAGAATGGGGAAATTTCATCTGTACTACCTGCTCTGGGCATCATTTCTTTACTGTAAATTTCCTTTGCGGCCATTCAGGCCTCTGGAGGAGGGTGAAGGGGAGAAGAAGCTGGGCACGCAGAAGCACACAAGTTCTTTACGGAAGGCCAAGGCACTTCTGGCACCATGAAGCACCACCTTGGTACGGATTTTCAGCGTTTCCTGTCCCTTAACCTTTTTTGCTGCTGAAGTTGCAGCTTCAGATGAACAGAGACTGCATTCTCTGGCCCAAATTTTAAAACTCTCTACTGATTCGGGGTGCACAGCTTGAGCTACCTTTAAAAGCCTGATTTTTCAGACGGTGAGTGCCTGAAAATGAGCTATGAATGTTGATTTCTTAAGCTGGGCAATTAGAAATGAAAAAATTGAAGGTTACTTGCTGATTTTAACAAAACGACCTTTTTCATGAATCTATTTGACAAAAGCTCTTTACGAATACATTTCCCTTGCCAGCAGAAAAGTGCTCAAAATATCACCCTATTCTATTCGTTAATAATCTTTTCTTCAGTTTAAATGACTCCCTTTTTAAAGCTTGTGTTCAATTAAATATCACAACAGTAGTACTCAGACCACAGAGTCTCATCAGAGAACAAGGCTTTATAGTTAATGCATTCGAAATCCCCATTTTCCAGATTTGAAGGATCTTTAATTTACAGCATTTTCACAGCAGTGGCACCAATTCAACAATCGTTTCTGAAGCTGAAAGAATGCCGTACATATTACATAATAATAACTAATACAGAACAGTCAACCTCAACACAACTGTGTGGAGTGAGTTACGTTGTAAGGATGAGCGATGTGCCAACTCTTATTGCATGAAGTTAATTCAAATCCCAAGAAGCAAAAACTTTAATGGGAAAATTACAGAGAATTACTTTTTTAAAGGGCAAAAAAAAAAAAAAAAAGAAAAAGGAAAAGATGAAACAGTACTCTAATGTGTAACTCAGCAGAGATACTAAACATTACCACAAGATGAGCTTTTAAGTAGCTCTTTCTGTTAAAATCAACGGGGAATCCTCCAAAGATAATTACTTTGCCCAGTAGCTACAGGATAAAGAATTTCGCTATTAACTTAAGTGGGGCCAGGGAATTAGATCTCCCAGTTCAGATCCTAGCTAGTGCACACAGAGCTACGCATTTTAGGACCTTGGCAACTGTAGACCTTTAGAGCTTTTATTTTCTTTGGGACCTTCTTAAGAGTATAGGATTAGGTCATGTTACAAAATAAAGGTTTTATCTTCAGACTGACCCCGTTAATAATGTTTTGATAGCACTGTAAAAGAAAACGACTGGTACCTCTTTCTTTGGCCACTCTTTTCCTTTTGAAGAACTCTGTATGTTCTCTCCGTGCATTTCAAATGCGTGGTTATCCATTTAGGAAAGCTGAAATAGATTAGTTCACAGAAGACAAGAAAAACATTGAAACAAAAGAATGTTAATTCCAATATGTGCTCACTTATGTTACAGAGTCCAGGGAAGTGACTCATCTTCTTCTGCATAGTACCACTAATGGTATTTAGTGCAGTACCGCTGTGCAGAAACGTGGCGCAATACAAAAAACTCTTCACTAAACAGAAAGTTCTGACAATTTCCACATTCAGACTTAGCATTATTCATCTATCACATGAACCCTACGACACAACACGACAATGAGATAGAATTTGAACCGTCAAATACTGGGGGGAAAAAAAAGCAGAGGTCATCTAATTCCTTTACCTATGCTAAGGACATAAATATATTTAAATTACAGTTTTGGCTGGTTGTGTAATCTACTTTTACAACCACAAAAACGGTTGAGGTTCCAGAACTTCTTTGGCAACACATTTGCCTGCTTACATATTACTCTTGTTAAAAAGGTTTTCACAAGCCTAAATCCCTCTAGCTGCAACACAACTGTTACATTTTACCCTCCCACCATGGACCTACCTACATAGGAAATGCTAGGTGAGACCAACAGTACATCCAGACCAGTATTTTTTCTCCAACAAGACTTTAGGAAATTATAAGGGAGAGCATATCCTGGCTACTACTTCCAGGTTACACCTTTCATGCTTCCCAAGCACACGTAACTGTTGGATGAGAGAAGCTCGAGGGAACAGCCTCTTCCCTTCAGATTTCACTCTATGAAAAACTCTATGACTTTGCCTAAGTCTTTTATGAACCTGCTGATACTCCCCGACCTCTTAAGTTTACTGCTTGCAGATTACAACAAAGAGCACTCCTCAGTCCTAAACAGATCTCCTACCAGCTCCTTTAAGGCCTCCTACATTTCTGTACTGTGGGATATGAGCAACACCAAACGCACGTTCCACTCTCCAAGCCGAAGGTCCAAGCATTTTTTAGTCTCTCCCTATTAGGCAGCTCTTCTTTCTCCAGGATCATTTCAGTCACTCTCCTTTGGATCTTGTTAAATGCTGCTAACCTGTCGTAAAAATGAAACTAGGCTTGTCTAGTACACAGTGTTCGTAATGACCTCTCTCTTTTTTTTTCCCCCTTCCTCATTTCCGTGATGCGTTCCACATTTGAGTATGTACTGCTGAACTTCTAGGAAGCTGAGGTTAAGCTCATTGCCCTATAATCCTTTGGCATCATTTAGCTAACTTTTTGTCAGCTAAAGTTACTTTCCTTGTCCCATTTCTAGACCGTTATGGGACTGCACTGAGGTCTAAATTTACTGATAACTTGAAAATAGCTTCAACCATTTCTCCAAGAGCTTATTGTTAATGCTGGTAGCCACAGTCCACCGAGCACAGGTAGTTTGAGTGAGACCCGTCAATCACGTTTTTCCTGTCGTAATCTGAGCTTTAGCTCCCACCCGTTGCTGTTGATGTTTTACGTAAACGTTATGCTTTCACCGACATCATTTATTATTCTCTGCAGGAAAGTCATGGACCAAAATGTTTCTTGGTCCTCCCTTTTATCACTAAGAGACTTAGTGTTTACTATCATCAGCAATAAGGAAATTTTGGGCTATTTTAGGAGCTCTTCCTCCTTGTCTCTCATTTGTGTGTTTTGGAGTTTCCAAAAAGCACAAAGGTCCAGGATGACTCATCTTCAGGGACAATTCTAGCTATTTCCGTTATGCTTCCTTCTTGAAGACCATCGAGGACTACAAGAGACATTAGATTTCTTTTCCCTGTTCCATATCAGGATATCCTACAACTCTATCTTAAATATATGTATTTTTATGAACTGCCAAACTCCTGAGCACCTTTTTCCTAGACTTTTTTGTTAGGATTTTTCAAACAGATCATTGAATTTCTTGTAGAGTTGCTTTTTTTTTTTATTCTTCCTCTTTTCCATCTAATAATCTTGAAAACCTTGTAAGCAAATTCTTGTGTTAACCTTCACCTGGTATCACCCTAGTCAAAAACCTTGTATTCAATTTATTTTTCCCAACAAATATTTGGTTAACTAGTATCTCCTCAACGCAAATTATTCTGTCGGTTGTTTACAAAAAAGTCCTTTCCATCTTATCCTTCTTGGTTTGGTGTCTTAATGGTAGGTCTTCAACTTGAACAGCACTCAGGCTCTTTTCTCCTCTTACTATCATAAAGCTACTTTTAACAGATTATCTCCCATATAATCTAGACCTCAATGCAAAGGTAAATATCCATAGAGAAACCTATCTTCCCTCCCCTTTTCTTCAGGATCAACCTCCACTTTTTTTTTTTTTTTATTAATTCATTAACAAATTAAATATCCCACCAAGTAAACATTTACGTTGCCTAAATCACAACTTCATATAGAACCTTGTGCATTCTTCCATGTAGTTTCCATACAGCCTGCACTAGTATAGACACCTTAAACATTAAGCAGACATGTTTGCTATCCTGTTTCCATACTGCTTCAATCCTTTTTATAAAAATCCTGTGTCCGTGGTTACTATGCCTCTCGTCACCTTTTTACTGATAACACATTCTTTTGTCATCAGTCCCCATTAATTCTAGTTTAAAACCTTCCTTCCTAAGTTGGTAACCCTGCACTTAAAGAAGCACTTATTTTTCTATATGAGATAGAGCCCATCTCCCCTCAGAGTCCTTTGTTTTCTGCTCTTGAAGAGGTGTGAAAGCTCAGCCATTCAAATTGGCAGGATCAATCAGGTCAACCGAAATTAATGAAAAGTTTTTCTTATTTCCCTTTGAACAGCAATTCTCTCGGCACAGTGAGAGCCCTTCCAGCTGTAATGCTGATCAAATATTTCGAGCAAGGACACAAAAATTAAAAAACATGGTAGGTCACAGAATCCACGATCAACAAGAAAGAAAATATACATCATGATTTTCAAGGGTTTCACAATTCCAGATACTTATACATATGTAAGAATCCATACACATCTCTTGGAAAACAAATACAATATTCTGGGGGTGTCAGAGTTACATAGGAAAAGAATTAATAGGTTGTTAATGAGTGAGTATGGGGTTTGCAGTTTTTCAGATCCTCTTTTTCAGACTAAAACAGGTATAAACTCTAGCCAAATTAACCCTCTGCCGGCAGCACCGTTAGTCTTCATGATATCTGGAGCCTGAAATTAAGTTTTTCTGTATGAGCACCTTTTTGTATGTGTGAATACAATGATGCAGAGAGATTTGCTAATGCAAATGGACTGTTACAGAAGAAAAGATAACTGCAGCATACAGTCATTCCATTTAAAAACCAGTATCACAATGGACTCTCTCATTAAGCCTTTAAAAGGCAAAAAGCCCCGAGACAGAAATCCCATCTAGTTTCCTCCCACAGTGCCAAGTCAGTCTTACCGCAGACAGGATCTTCACGAGACTTAAGAGCACAGTACTTATCTTCATCAAAGCCTTTATTTCCCTCAGCTCCGTTTCACTGATATATATACACTGCAATTCAGGAAGTACCCTCTCGTAAAAGATTTCCTGTATATGCAAATGCATAGGATCACAAATACTTGTGTACATCCTTAGCAAACAGTTCTTGTAACTTGCTGAGAAATAGTGACTTTCCTTCTATCTAGTCCTCCTATTTTATTTTTAGCATTTCCCCCAAATCTTGGTCCCTGTCTTTCTGCCTGCCTTTTTGTTTTTCCCACTGTCACTATGGAAGACTGTAGTTCAATAAAATTCCTTTTCTCTGATCTAGCCACAAGGACAAGAGCATCACTGACATCTCAGCTATAGCAATTACTTTTGTTTAATACTTGATTTACATACTCCGTTATTTTTCCTGAGTAGCAACCGCTTTATTCTAACTTCTAGGCAAAGTGAATTCCAGCTATCGTTGCAGGAACTGACCAGTATATGCAACCAAAAAGTTACTTTTTTCTATTGATATATAAGGGATCAAATCCCTCTATTAAAATATTCTTTAATAGCCATAAAAATTTTCATAGCATTTAAAAAAAAAATATTTTTAAGTAAAACTAGTCGTCTCCACTTACTGGCTACTGGTGTTTTATTGTTTCGGGGGGGTCTTTTGTTTGTTTTTAAAATTCTATTCTTATTTGAATTTCTATATTTACAACTAGAAAGCATCGCTCATTTGTTGCTTAGTTTCATGTGCTTAAGGTACTTTTCTCTTGTGCAGTACAGTACCTCACACAGCGGACCTTATCTGTGATCAAAGCCTTTCAGACCTGGCCAACATACAAGTCGGTAAATATGAATATTCAGTAATGTCAACAATACTTTTAGTTGTTACCTAGGTCTGTGTGCCATAAAAAACAAACAAAAAAAAAAAGTTGTGCTGAATTTCTTCAAAGTACATGAAGCTGATAAAGGCAAAGCATCTGTAGGCTAATGAAAACAACTCCAAAGAATGAGGAATTTCACAAATATGGAGAGGTACGAGGATTCCTCAAGAGGCAAATAATGAAAGAGACTTTCTAAATAGCAAACAAGCTCTGCCCTAACATCAAGAGAAGTTCTAAGGGAGCAGGGGGTGCTTTACATTTGTCCTATGCACCCCTGCAAGCAGGATACAAGGGAGTGTGGTATAACCTCTAAGCACTCTCCAGGCATTAAGTCTTGCTTTGAGTCCACCTTGCTCGCACCACCAGCACCCCAAGGAGTATCCGGACATCTGGATGAATTAATCTACCTTTTTAACGGGAGCTGTATGGGCACAAGCCCCTTCAGAAGCAGGAGAGCTATGACAGCTTAGGCAGTGCCACACTAGTTGTGCTCATTCGGAGGTGTACTAGCTCAAACAATGCAGCGCGCACACACACTATGCTTCACTACCTACACACAGCATCCAGAGGAACGCAAAACCAGAGCAAAACTATCATAATCTGCACTGAGACATGTGTGATGTCAGAAAAAAAACCTCATCTTTCCTTCCACATCTGAATTCTTTTGATAAAATGACCTCTGGCAAACAGCTCCCCACAGTATCAGTTGGTTTGTACCCTCGTGTCTCAGCAATGCACTGCTTTATAAAAGCTTCTACGAGAATGTTTTCTGGAACAGTAATTTCATTTTCTGTACTCTGATTTCAGATCTAACTCTCAGCATATGAGGTTTAGCTTGGATATCAGGAAAAAATGTCTTCACCAAAAGGGTTGTCAAGCACTGGAACGGGCTGCCCAGGGAAGCGGTGGAGTCACCATCCCTGGTGGCATTTAGAAGACGGGAGACATGGTGCTGAGGTACATGGTTTAGAGGTGGATATGGCAGTGTTAGGTTAATGGTTGGACTCGATGAACCTAGAGGTCCCTTCCAACCCAGACGATGTTATGATTCTAAGCCCAATAAAATCTGTCTGAAATGCATTATTACGTATTGCTTATGACCTATGGTCTTGTGATGCCATGACAGTCAGAAGATGAAGTCATTTATCACCTCTCTACTTACTAATTCTAAATAGTAAGGTGGGAAGAATGCGTAGCTAATCTTCCTTCTACTTTTTCTTCTGGTTTCTATTTCAGTTCTCAGAACCAGTACACGCTCAATACCTGCTTTCTCATGTGTACCTATAAATATCCAGATTAAAAATAAACAGCTCACTAGAAAGGCATGTTGCCATACGTATTGTTTACCAACAGCATGAAATGCTAGGCTACATCATACAAGCCTCAGAAGAGGTAGAAAAGGCTTCTTTCAAAGTGTTCTGTCAATGTATTTCAAGTCACAACTCAAATTACTACTTACAGTTTTTCTTTCTCTCTCAATTTGCTGTTGCCAAATGGGGAAAGTCCTACTCCTCTTTCCCCTGCACAAGTTCTGGTGCTTATCAGTGGCTTTCATGAGCTAGTTCTATTCAATTATGCTGAAAAAAAAAAAAAAAAAAAAAAAAAGATATTCTATTACTTCTCTGCTTATTTAGGCCCACTGAAGGATTTTATATGCTGTAAAGCTAAGAACAAGCAAAGGAAAATGGAAGGGAGATTAGGACTTCCCAGTAACAGTGACAAACAGGCGTCAGATCAGTTCAGCTGTTACACATTTTATGCTCCCAACCAGGGTGCCTCTAAACCAGCACCTTCCCTCCCCAAAAAGCCAGGCTTCACTAGGCTGTGAAAGGGGGACAAGTCAAAAAAAGACTTCAGACACTTTTTTGATACAATGTATTTGGTAAGTTTTGTGGTCAGGGAATAAGGAGCGTACAATTACATCAACTCAAATCCTGTTAGAACGAACAGAACTGAAATTATTATGTAATTACATTATTGCTAAACCTTACTGCTTAACTTATGCATGGTATTGACCTCCTCCTTTCTAACAGGCCACGTGATAAAGTGATGACTAAAACTGGCCATATAGTTTAGGTTTTTTGTAAGTTTTTACAAACACACAGAGATTCTTCCATGAAAATGTTCATATTATTTTAATTAAATATTCTTTAAAAAGTGGTATCTTTTGTCACATATAGTTAGATCCTACTGGAAGCACTAATACTCGGTTAAGCTTTTAAGTAATTAATGAAAAGAACAAATGTACAGAAATACTGAATACAACATTTAAGAACATGCACTGGTACAGCCTTCAAAGAAATTTTGACCAGTGGTCAGGCTGACAAATTATTTAAGTTACACAACATTATTAGACATCAGCTTCACAGATTATTCTTTTTTCTTGTTTATCTTCTTCATGATCATCGGTCTGCTCTTGTTGGTTACTGTTATCTTCAACAAGCCTTTTAAGACATGACAAATGGTGTAAAGCCCTAGATTAGGAAAAATGAAGACTTTAACAACAGTGTCTATATTACTATTTACACAACAGCTTACAGCATTCAAATAGCTTAACAGTTTGAATGGTACTATATACAGTTTACATCTCTCTAACTGGACCACCTGTTCTGTTTTAGAGATTATAAAATACACTAAGATGTGTTTTTTCTTAAATATAAAACACTTGTACTCAAATTTTAAATAAGTCTTCTCAAATACCGGTGCTCATGCAAACACACAGTTTCTATGCAAACACACAGTTTCTATTAAATTATTGTGGAATGGGTATTTAGCACAGGAAATTAAACACCGCAAGACATTATGTCAGAAAATAGCATAATAGTACTGACAGTTACTGTATTTTTTTTTAATTAAAAAATCTTTTAATTTTACATTATGATATAAAACTATACAGCAACACTGAGTTTTGCTGAAACAAATGTTCTACATAAGAAAACCCTGTTTCCCATTCTGCCTTTTCCTCAAACTTATTATTTCTTTAGTCACTTCTAATTGTTCAGTAGAAGTGTGCCGATTTCATTAATGAAATGTTTTCTAGCAATTTTTTTTTTTTCACTACAGTGGAGAAAATAAGTAGTTTGTAAAGTCCATCTATGTGTAGCAGTATATAGATGAAATGCAAATGTTTATTTACAGAGAACATCTCTGTAACCATTCACTAGCTTTTTTTCTGCTCTGTGAACTGTCATGTTTTTAATTATTTGCTACTGGCTTATCCTTAACAAAGTTTTCAGATTACAGGACAACTATTCCAGCTAATTAATCGTTCCTTTTTTGCATTTTCTGAAAATCATGAAGAGTCAGAAAATCAATGGTCACTTACTTCTTAATAGAATTAGTAAGAGGGATTATCTCACTGTCACACAGGTTTAATTCAGCCTCTGCTTTTTCAGAAAGCTTAAAAAAAAATCCAAAAATAAATTGTTAAGCAAGGGAAGGAAAAGTAGTGAATATGACAGAAAACATGGAATTTTTATAGCACATTGTACTGGAAAGTATTACCAACGACTTTGTAGCATCATAAAGTAATTCAGGTTGGGAGGAACCTCAGGAGGAGGGCTCCTCCTCAAAGCAGAGGCAGCTATGAGGTTACAGCAGGTTGTTCAGGGCTTTATCCAATCTTGTAAACCTCCAAGGATGAAGACGGCACAACCTGCCTTCAACCACTTGTTCCAGTGTTTGGCTGCCTTCAGGCTTAAAAAGTTTCTCTCAATGTCCAGTGTGAACCTCCTGTTTCAATTTATGCCCGTTTTTCATCCTTCTACCATGTACCACTATGAAGACCCTGGCTCCATCTTCTTGATACCCACCTCATAGGTGCAGGAAGACTGCTACTAGGTCCCCCAAAACTTCTCTTCTCCAGCCTCAACAAGCCCAGTTCTCTCAGCTCCCCCCCAAACAAGCGCTGTAGCCCCCAACCACCTTAGGCACCCTTCCGCCAGCTTATTGATGTCTCTCCTGAAGTGAGGGGCCTAAACCTGGACGTGGTATTATAGATGTGGTCTAATACATGCTGGGGGATACAGAGGGACAATCACTTCTCCTGATCCATTGACTGCTCCAGTCCGTATAGCCCAGGGCCCTGCTGTTCCTCCTCTCCTGCCAGGGCACACAGATGGCTCCTGTTCAATTTGTACCTACCAAGAGCTCACAGCAGCTCCCTAGCCAGGCAGTCCCCAGCCTACATTGCTGCAAAGATTTCTTCCTTCCCAGGCACAAGCCCTTGCGTTTGCCCCTGTTGAATTTCATGAGGTTCCTATCGGCCCGTTCTCCTCCTATCAGCCCGTTCTCCTCGCCTGCCCGATTCAGATATATATGGAGCATTTCATTCACTACCGAGAAAACACAGGGTTTAAGAGCTGTATGCAGGCAACATTATGAAAAAGGTAAAAAGAGATAACAAAGTCTATGGAATCATTTTGAAACAAAAGTGCCACAAAATACAAACTCCCTGATGCCAAAGGAGGCAAGGATAGAGCATTCGAGAACGGTTGGCTTTTTAAAAATTTAGTACATGCCCCTGAAAGCCTAGAATTAACAGGGATATTATCAGAAGACAACTTTTCCAGATCTCAGCTGTTACTAGAGCAGCAGAGAGCAGCACAGGCTGCTCTCTTCGGGCAGGATTGCCTGAAATGTCGCCATCTCCTGGTTTACAAGTACTGCTTTCTGCAGCACCGAGGAGGCCACTGTGGCTGCCACAGAGTGCCCCAGCAAAGAGGGGAGACCTCAGCGCAAGGCGGCACAGAGCCTCCAATTTGCAACAGCGAGACACAGGGGACTTCGGGCACAGCAGTCTTGAGCATATGCCCCTGATGCAAACTGGATTGAATCTGCCGGCAGTGCTCTAAGGTGACTGGAAACCAAGTCTATAAAAGGACTAACAATTTTTCTCAGAAGAGAAATTGACATCAATATTGACAAGATATAAAGAAACCGACTCGACTACTCACTTTTTCAAACTCTTCCTTTTGCTCGGCAGTTTCATTCTGGCTTAAACTTCCCTGAATTGCTTGAAGTTTAAACAACATTCGCTTCAAAGCTTCAAGGGGTCTGGGATGATGACCTCCACAAAAAGTATTTTCCTGGACCAAAACCCAAAGATTCTGCTGATATTGCAGTGCACATAAAACAAAACAACCAACTTTTGAAGTTTCCCTGAAACGAGTTAAAGGCTTATTGCTAGGAGTGCTTCCCTCTACCTATTCTTTAAAGGCCTATTTACAAATTGTACACCGGTTCACATCTGAATTTATGCCACTGTACGGTCAGTGAAATCACTGTAAATACATACATTGTTAGGAAGATGTGAAGCAACACAGAAAGGCCTCAAAGGCTTGTGTGAAATAATTCAAGAATATTAAGACTGTCAGCCCTTGTAATGCTGTGACAGCAGTGCCGGAACATGTTTCAACATTTCATAACTGACAGAGCAAGTAAGCTTCCTTAATGATAAACATAGATTTATTCATATAATTAGCATCTATATGTCTATATCTGCTCATTCTATAATCAAGAAAGCAAATTAACTCAAGGTGACAAAAATTTGTGGCTAATCTAGAAATACTTATGTCTAGAAATGTCTGATGATCTAACAGAACAGGAAGCATGAAGGATGAAATACAGTGAAGCAACAGTCAGACAGAATAATTTGAATTCCTCATGCAAATCGTTAGCTTTTCTGTCCATTAACTCCTTAGGGAAACAGAAGTATGTGCCACAGTGGAAAAAACTTAAAGGATAACGCTCTGTTTACTACAGAATGGGAAAACAGAATCTTAGAGCAGTTAAGATTCAAGGATAATAGGGCATAAAATAAAGGAAACATATCAGTACATAAATTAACAGTATTTTCAACTGGAATACTGGGCTCAGCGCTCAGCTACCTAGCTGAGAAAAGGATAAAGGGTTCATATAATCAAAATGAAAGACCGAACAATATTAAGACTGCCAAGAAAGCAATTAGTAGGTAAGAACGGGAATAAAATAATGAATCAAGAGCAAATTTAATCCACGATCCAATTCCATAAGAAATACATTACTTAATTTACCTCTTGAACTTGACTCATTCCGAACAGTACATCAGTCAGGTTAGGAAATTAGTAGTATTTAATACAACAATAATGCAAAAAATTATTCCTTTACTTGAGCCAGGAACATTATTATTTAACCAAAATATCGAGTGTAAAAAGCACAGTATTACTAAGCAAAGCATTTTATAGTTAGATGCTTCCTTAATCATAGTTGTGACCAAGGGTTAGATTATAGGATTTAATAACTGTATTAACTCTTCATGCTTAAATATGACTAAACTACTGCAGTTAAGTTCTACTTTATATATTACAGAAGTTCTACTTTATATATTATAGAAGAAGGAAAACCAATTTACAGGTATTCCCCCTTCTAATATTTATCAGCCTTACATATTTTGGGGACTCTCAGAAATAAATACTTAATTTTACTGACCTTATTTTTGTCATTTAAACAGTCTTCCAAGAACTTATGTATGATATCTACCTTGGGGAATGGTAGAGCATTCTCCATGTCCTCACAGTACACAGGCACTGGTGGTTTGCTAAACCAACATTAAACATATAATTGAGAATAAGAAGAGGTTTATAAACTAAACGAACTGTTTTAGGATAGTTACTATGCTGAAACTAGCTATATTGCATCACTGTAACACCAAGGGGGCACTGAGTAGTCCTGTCAGCACTTTGTATACAAGACACACACAACTATCGTTTCCAGTTTTGCCAGTAAAAGTCAACGTAACAAAAAAGGCAAGGTAAGGACTTCTTAGCTGTAATTTACTACACATGGAAGGTTTTCTAATACCTGGCATTCCTCCATTAATATTCAACATCTAAAGAAAAATAGTTACCTTCTGCTTACCGACCTCTAATTCTTCTACAGTCTCTAGGGTCTTTGAATTAAAAGCTAGTGGTCTCAGAGAAACAGATATTAATGAAACCCGATTTCTAGTGATGTTCTCCTAGGCGAGCATTCTGGTAGATTAGATTATTAGCCTGTCTCTCAACAGCAGCATGGGTAGTACCATTCTATTATCACATGCGGGAATGACGCAGTTTGAAATTTTCACTTACCTGTTAAATATTGCTAAAATTAACCAATAGTTCAAAATCTTCTGGGGTAAAGGGAAACTGACAGACAACACCCAGAACCATATACACCTAGCTTCTTCTTAAAGACTGTAGGAAATGCTAGTATTGATTTTTAGCATTCTTTGATCCTGTGGAATAACTTTTCAGTTCCTGAACAACTGAAATTTCACTCCCAAGACTGCTGCAGAACTTCCCAAGGCCACACCGCTTTATTAAAAAATGGACGACCCACTAGTAACTCCTTTTTCATAAACTTAAGTTTATGTCTTAAATTGACTTTAAGTCAATTTAAGTTCCATTAAATAATTTTTCTCTTGAAATAAATGTTTCTTATATATCGATACACAAAGATATTATTAAAAGGCAACAATAAGTAATATTGATAGCAGTCTTTACAAGCCAGTGAAAAAGGGAAAGCAGTGCACCAATATCCTGACCTTGAAATTTTAAGCATTTAGCACTAGCAAGAAATCTAACAGTAAATCCTTTCTTTATGCACATGGCACATCACATTACTTGTAATCTATACACAAAAGCAATTAAATACATTATGCGCTTTCACGAAGAAATTAGTCCAAAATACAAGTTCACTTACAAAGCACCTGGAGCCTTTTCCCATGATCTCTCCGCTCCTAGTATATCTGTTGTAGAAGGACTGCCATCATTTTCCAAATTATTCGGCAAATCTTCAGTTGAACTCTCCAGACCTCTGTCAGCCTTCAAGGTACGTAGCTCAAGCTGGTCTTCTAAAAACCAAGAACACAATGTGTCCAACCCTCTTCAAGGGCATTATTTCCACATTACTTTTAATTTTATGTAATATTCAAAGAAAATTACTACAGATGAATGAGCACTGGAAACATTTTACAGAGTACAGCCCCAATACAACTCCTTTGGTTATCTTGGTATGGCAATATGGCATGTAAGTCACCGGTTCCAAATGAGATCTGCAAGGTTCTAGCCAGGAGCATATTTAAAGTAATCAAGCATTTCTTTTCCTAATTTATGTAAAACAAGTATCATGCAGCATTCAAGATTATTTAATGTTTTTAATGTGCTTTCATGCTATAGAAAATATAATTAATATTAATTCACAATACGATGTTAAATATTACTTATTAATCCTATAAGTTCTTAGGCTAGTTTTCTTATTATTTTGTACTCATTTTTCTAACAACTGTTTTTTACAGACACCTGGGAGAGAAATCATGCAACATATACATGCAAATCACATATACAATCACATATAGGACTCGCATTTAAAAATAGATTGAGACAAGCTCTCAAAGTGGCAAGACAATTCTCCTATTTTTTTTATACCTAGCCTAGTCATAAGTGGTAAAATTTTCTGTGTGAAAAAGGAATAGAACCCTGTATTTAAATTTCATCATGCACACACATTAGAAAGGTATCTGCAGACATTTGTATAGCTGGCATTTTGTTGCTCTGAATTCACAACATAACATTTTAACTTGATTTTTATATATAACCTCTTGGAAAAAGGTAGACAACAGCATTTATGCTTTGCATAACAAAGAAAAAATATGTTTCTTTTTAAATGAGTAAAGATAGACAACAGTGAAGGTAATTAACACTTCGAAGTGTTAAGCTCTCATTTCAAAGCAAATCTTGTTGATATTTCATAATACAAAAGATGGTGCTTCACCATGGGAGGGCCTCCCTGCTTTGGAAGAGCAATGGCCTGCTGCAAAGAGTAGCTACATAAGAGATTCCCAAGGAAAGCCTTTACGTAAACTGAAGGCACTGGATAACCTAAATATATGGGTTACAAGCATCTCCTGCTGACTGCAGAGAAAAAGACTGCACAATAAATGGTAATTTTTACTAATTTGACAGGCTCAGTTGCACTATGTTTAGGAATCTCTCTCCCCCAAGGTTACGCTTCATGTAATTTAATGCTTGCAACTCTATTAACATATTTATGGAATTACTGTCATTGTCTTGCAGTAAGGTACTAAATATGCCACTGTAATAAATATTTTGCTGTAAAAGGAATCCTTAAATATTGCTTTATATATGAGAACTTACAGTATAAATCTGTTTAACTTGGTCAACTACTAGTAAGTGCTTTGAGTCATCTGTCAAAGATGGAAGTGGATAAATCTACTGTACAGTGCAGTCAGACTAACATAGCTAGAGAATGCTGGTTTTTAAAAAGATGTCCATGTCTTTATACACATACACTCAAATTTAAAAAACAAATTATATGAAATATAGGTACCTCTGAATGGCTTTTCAGTACGTCTTGAAAATGAGTTACCAGAAGGGAAGCATGCATCTGGACTGTCATAGTTGCAACTTTCCTCTACTTCATTATCACCTCTCAGATTCAGGCAACAATTTTGTTCAAAAAAATTAGAACTGTCTTTATCTACCAAGTGTCTTCTTTTCAGGATCTCAGAAGTTTGAGAAGAGGAAGCTTTGCCTTCTACGTCAAAATTTTGACCATCACTTTCTTTCGTTGAATCAAGAAAAAGGTTGTAACTCTTAAGCCAGACTGGGTAGTGAAAATTGGGAATACTGCTTATCCCTGATACACTTAGGTCAGACTTCTGACTAGTAAGCCACCTTGGATAATTCTTAACAGGCAAAGTGTTAGAGTTCTCTTCAAAAGACAATGGTCTCGAACTTCCTTTAGAGGAGACTGAATCATACCTATCAGGTGTACACACATTGTGTTTCTTTTGGATGAAATCTTTGTGTGGATTCTGGTGAGCAACAGCTTTCCCGTTCTCCCAGAGCCTGAAACAACTTTCAGTATTGAGAGATGAGGTTTGGCAAGGGCAGAAAGATGTTTGACGTGACCGTCTGTTCCGCTTGCTACTTTGATGCCTTGATTTAAAAGGGCTACGCTGGGGAAAGGGCAGCGATCCATCTGCTGGGAATGCTAACAGATCATCTGTCGCAAGACTCATCAAGTCTGGGTCACGCTCAGTCTGCCTTCTAGAGGGTGAAGCAAGAGAACCCAATCCTACGTGCTGGTTAAAATCATCCAATGCTGAAAAACAAAGATATTTTACATGAGTTGCTAAACTTCAAGCATACCAAAAGGATATATTTCGAAGATCCACCATGAAGTAATAATTCAAAGATGAAAGATGTTGTTTACCAGGGGGGCTGAATTACAGTCCTCGCAACAGTGGTTCCATTTCTACTCTGAAGCTTGCTAAAAACGTTACCAGTCAAAAGTCACCCCTCCTTTCATAGTACAAAACATTTACAGCTTTGAGGATTTTATTTTTTCTTTAAGAGAAACAAGAAATCAACCTTCTACGGTCCATTTTTAGTTGCACATTCAGAACTGTATATTTTGCAAGTTCAGTCCTAGTAGTGACACTTCCTCCACGCAGCGATGTTAGGGACGACTACCCCCATATTGAAATTAAGCACATTTACTAGAGAAAAACATGGCTAAAAGCAATAGCTCGATAGACAAGTAGCCAGATAACAGGCCTATAGACCCATTTTGTGATTCTACAGAAACTTACATGCTATATAAGATTCCACTTGGCAGTTTTTCAGGGAAGAATTAGAGCATTAAGCCTTTTTTCTTTTTTTCACCTGAAACTGTGGAGCACTTTGATTCACAAAAACAGGTTTTCCTCAGCTAGTACCTGGAAGTTATTTTTTCTCACTTTCACTTAATATCAGAAAGTTAAATCTATATATTACAGACTTATAACATACAAAGCATACACACAGACGAGCTAATACGTGAACGGAGCTAACGAGACTTCTGCAAAGAAGAGCAACAGAGAAATTTCAGAGTAAAATGTGCTCAGATGACATCTTTCATAGAACAGTTTCTCGTTTTTAGCAATAATCAGAAGGCTTATTTTTGTTTGGGAAATCAGTTAAACTTAAGTAGACGGTTTGTATTAGAAAAATATAAACCAAAAGCTAAATACAGCTAAAAAGTAGCCATCTTGATAAGAGAAAGAAAAGAAAGGTGTGAAGCTAGAGGAAGGTTATAGGCTACAGTGGGGGGGGAGGGAAGCCCTTAATATTACAATATGCTACCTTAATTGTCCCTGCCAATGCAACCCAGGCAAGCATCCCTTTTCAGGTACAAAGTTTGCCTGTACTTAGGACTTTGTTATTTTAGATGTAATGGAGAAAGCATTTGCAATATAAATTAGCTTAAGCACAGTTATCTTCTCTAGATCTTCTCATTAAAGTTCATATGATCAATTAAATATTTATTCGAGCTAACTAATAATGACAAAAGCCAATTCAAACCTATATGCATTACACAGTTGGGTTAGACTTCAGAGCCAAAAGTACATTCCATAAAAATCAATGGCTAAGAGGCAAATTTTGTTATAAGACAAAGCAGTGGTTCAAGGGACGCCTTCAATTAACTAGATGCTGATGTTACTTACTCTAGAAAGGAAACAGATTATTGTTATAAGACAAAGCAGTGGTTCAAGCTACTTACTCTAGAAAGGAAACTGAGATTATTTTTTTTTCAAGACTAGGGTTTAAGCAATGATTTACACTGTCTTTAGCATATATTCACCTGTAGAAAATACAATTTCTATTCCACACTCTGGAATTTATTATTACATGTATGTAATTTATGTATGAGCACGGTCATGAATTCTCACCAATCCACCAAACTTTTACAAAAAAGCTTTACCAAGAATGACAAATATTGCTGGCCATGACCAAGCATCATTTACTATACCATAAAGACTTGCAAGCAGTTGTGCAGGGAATATACCTTCAACAAAACACACCTGGTGTGAGACAAGGAGATGATATACCATTGGCAATGAAAATAATAATAAAAAAACCCAAAACAGCAAACATGAAAACTTATTAAAAGACATATTTGCACAAGACATACCACGGTTTTCTTTGGCATGACGCTTGGAAAACTTCACTTGTTTGGGAGTGCTTTGACATATGCAAATTTTTCCAGTGCTTATTTCTGAAGATGTGAGACTTAAATCAAAATCTTCAATATAAGCTTCCAAAGCCTCAGATGCAGAGCTGTAAAGCTTGTCCTTGTAGTGAATCAAACTGTTCGAGTATGGATTATTACTATCAATGCTATAGCTTGCTAAAAGAGAAGATACCGTTGAATCAGGAGAACAGACGCTGCTTTCTTCTATTGAGCTTGTCATGGTTTTTATCCAGGTTTCTGTTAGAATCCTCACTCATCTTTTTAACCAATCTAAACAGAAAAAGAAACAAAACTGTACGTGATCATCTACACCGAAATGTCTTCTCGTAAGCTGTAATATATCTAGGATTTTTTACTTTTATTATGCAATTTTATTATTTTTTTCTAAAAATACACTATTTAGCTATTCAACTTGCTGCTTTTCAAATAAGTTTGTCATACATATGCACCACGCCTAGTAAAGTAAAAGGCAGAAAATAAAGGCTCTGGGAAAAAAAAAGATAACAATAGGGAAAACCTCTTGTATATTGAAACTTTAGTAGTAGAAAAAAGAAATATAAGAGCAAGAAAATCCAGCTCCTCGCTAGTTCTAGAGGAACATGAGTACCTTGCTTTTGCAAGAACAGGATTTCATATAAGAACTGCTGACATTTGTCAACAAACATATCATTCAGCAAAAAAACCACACGGAAGTATAACAACTGATTTCAGAGCCAGCACAAAAGAGTAGTGTTCATGGACAAAACCAGGAGTAGCTTAAGCAGTACGAAAGACTAACAACTCAATGTAACAAAAGTAAGAAGCCATTACCCTTGCGTATATTTTTATATAACCGGAATGGGTACACACAGCAAGATTATTTTACAAGCCACATGGGAGCACTTGGAATTGTCTTATCTATGCAATTTAGCCAACCTAATCCAAGCTGCCTTTGTAACCCCACAAACTGTAAATTTTAGAGCTGGAAGTGCAGGCTCGTTCTAAACGCTGTAAATCACAACGGTCAAGGTCACGGAAAGAAACCCAACAGTTCATACCATCCCTGTAGGTAAAACACCATTTGAGAAATCTGTTAGGGCATTAAGGAACCAGGTGCTGTGTAACAACGAACAAAGCCTAATAATTTTGTTATAGCCAATATCGCATCCGTACAAGGGTCATCACACAACAGCAGCGTAAGGACTGATATGAAAAAGGCACGGTGGGGAGCAGCTCTTCCAAGGCCTAATTGGTTTTCCCTGGAAAACAAGGGAAAACCGCAGCTTTCCAGTGGTTTTGCCCGGAAAGCCGAGCAGCCGGGCTCGGCACCGGCCCGAGGGCCCCGCGACCGGCACACAGGCCTCCCGGGCCCCCTCCTCACACACCCCCCCCCCCGGGAGAGGCAGGGCGGGCCCGTACGGGCAAGACCCGGCCGCGGCGGGCACCCCCGGCCCCCTTTTCCTCACAAAATAAACAGCGCAGGAAGAAAAAAAGCACCCAAAGCAGCACAGCCCCTCCGCACCGCCACGAGGGTGCACCACCCTACGTTCCTCCTCCCCCCGCCCAGCCCGGCCCGGCAGCC